ATGTTTGCTTATTACGAATTACTTTCCCCAAGACGATAACGTAAAAAAGGCCGATGTAACAGATAAAAGCGTGATCATGATCTGTTTATATACTAAGTATGATATGAGTTGATATTTCACCTAGGCAACTTTGTAAATATATCGCCTCACTGGTTGTCTGGCGGATGAATGCGCCAAAACATCATCTTTTTCTTTTCTATCCATCAATACCACCCAGAATTTGTAATACCATGGCAGGGGTATATTGACACAGATAAAGAAAGAAAATGTTAGCAAGTTTTGGTCAACTCTTGATATATATAACTTGCAAAAAACAACAAAAAACACCAATAAATAAAACAACAACAAACGATAATAATCAAAAGGCAAGTCCTATACATGTACATACGTCAAATTTATGATAAGTACAGTATTACATGTACTATAAAAATATAGCGCTTCTGAGTAAATTGTAATATATTTTCATAAGAAAATAAATGATAAAAGCAAGCGCAATAATATTTTTGTTAAAAATAAAGAAGAAGAAAAACAACAACAACAACAACAACAAAAACAATGGTATTATCTGCTTTACTTATTTGGATAATTGCTGTGAAAACTGAACAAAATCATTACATTTAAGTGTAACTTTTATTAATTTATATCTAAAGGACATGTTTGCACGGTTAAGGCATTTTCTTAAGATTTGCCTAGATCTATTCTATCAACAAGAACTTTTTAACAGATGATCCGTGCATGTCAAATTATTCTTAATTTAATTCATAAACGGTGGAAAGATTTCAGTGAAAAAAAAGTTATTTGATAAAGTCTACAGAGCAACTGAAAAAAAAACAACTTCGGTATTTACTTTGATACTCACGCATCAACTATTTTTATAAGATGTCTATTATAAATGAACTTCAGATTAGTTCATCATTAGCATGCAGATCTCGATTGATAGAGGCTTAATTGACGAACATCTGTATTAATGCGAATCGATTCAAAAGTATACGTATATATTCATTTATATATATTCATCAATGGTTTATATTCCCTTTTGAAAATAAATTTACAGATAGTTAAATAACTTCAAAAGAGTATTTAAAACTGTTAATGACAGTCACTGGTTTGCAAATTATAATATTCTCACATCAGAATAAGTTTGAAAATCATTTTAATTGAATAAGCCGTTATTCAGTCTTTTTTAATGTCAATGTAGAACCTTACTTTTCGGTGACTTATACTATATACAGACCGCTATATGTCACATAATATCGTACCCCTGGTATATAAAATCAATTCATTCTTTTGAAAAGGTTGAAATAAACTGTCAAACATGAATTACTTTTTAAAGACATTTAATTTAACGTACGAACATTTCACTGTTAACTTAACTAAATTTATTTTGATATACATTTCCTTTGATATTAGCAGACATTAATATCTTTTACATATATATCCCTTGGTTACCGATGTTTATTTGCGATATTGCACAGTCAGTACATTATTGCTTTAGCACTGAATTGTGACTGAAAATAAGATGAAAATCCCAATGCAGGTACAAATCTCTTTAAGCAGGAATAATCGTATTTTTTTCCATTTGATAAAATGATACTTGGCATTTTGAACGGCAATAACTTTCGAATTAATATAGATATACCAAGCGACGTTATTAACGTCATTATCTTAAGCTACAGTCTCACTTACATCCCGGCAGAGCTCCGGCAGAGCCCCGGTAGACGTCCGGGGTGATCCGGGAACGACCGGGGTACGACCGGGATTAACCGGGGTACATCCGTTACTCTGCCGGCAACGTCCTGGATGATCCGGGATGATCCGGGAACATCCGGCATTCGACCCCGGATGGAATAAAATATTTAATATCACCGGGGTGGTCCGGGATGATCCGGGAAGGTATAGCTTTGCCGGCTTCATCCTTAGCTCTGCCGGGAACGACCGGGGTTATACCGGGAAAGCACCGTAGCTCTGTCGGCACAAACCGGGGATGGTCCGGGGTATGATATAGCCGGTAGAGCTACGGTAGAGCCCCGGTATATGCCGGAAGAGCCCCGGTAACTACAGGCAGAGCCCCGGAGGATAAAGGTAGAGCTACGGTTGATCCCGGTAGAGCCCCGGCAAAGCCCGGATCATTTCAAAAGAATAACGACAATTTGCGATGATTGTACTTGTTTGTATTGTATTGCCTTTTTGTCTTTATCAAATCTGTAAAGCAAAAACTATAATCTGTTATTATAAACAGTATTGAATATCTTCTTCTTCTTCTTCCAATATACTGGCCACCTTCAACTAACTGAAGTTTACTGCCAGGTTAATGCGCAAGACGGAAAGAAAGAGTAAAAAATAGTGAGGAATATATACAGTGCAGGTTAAAAACGGACAAGAGTGTGGTTTAGATATAGAGTTGGGACAGATGAGTACGGAATGACTCAACTGTACCGGCTGACGTAGCGCCTGGAGGTAGGCTGTTCCAGTCTTTGATGGTACTTGGGAAGAAGGATTGTTGACGGTATTGTGTACGGCAGTAGGGTATCTTGTAGGTTAGGTTGTGTGAATTTCTTGTAGATGTGGAGTTGGAGGGTATGAGTTGTGAATTGTCTAGAGCGACCTTGTTGTTGATGACTTTGTAGAGCATGATCAGTCTGGCCTCCTTTCGACGTTCTTGTAATGGTTTCCATTCAAGATCTGCAAGCATGTCTGTGACGCTGGACCTGTTGTGGTACTTGTTTTTAACAAACCGTGCAGCACGTCGTTAGACCATGTCTAGACGGTGTATGTCTCCCTTTTCGTGGGGGTCCCAGACAGTGCTCGCATACTCTTCTGTGGGGCGGACTAGAGCTTTGTAGGCTGTTTCTTTGGTGGAAGTAGAGGCGATGTTGAGGTTTCTTCGCAGGAAGCTGGTGGTGCGGTTGGCTTTGTTTCAAATGTTGTGTATATGTTGGCCCCAGTCTAGGTTGTTATTCAGGGTGCATCCAAGGTATTTAGCTGATGTAACGTGCTCTAAAGTATGACCATGAAGAGTGTAGTTATGGCAGATGGGGCTTCTTTTCTTGGAGATGGTAAGGACTTGGCGTTTGTCTGGATGGAATGACATTTTCCATTTCTCTTCCCAGACAGCTAGTTTGTCGAGGTCAGCTTGTAGGATGGAACAGTCAGACTTGTTTGTGATGGCAAGATAGGCCAGCGTATCATCTGCAAATAGTCGGACGACTGCGTTGAGACCCTCTGGGATGTCATTTATGTAGAAGAGGAATAGACTCGGGCCAAGGACTGAGCCCTGTGGGACGCCGGATTCTACAGATACTGTATCTGAGGTTACCCCTTCCAAGACTACAGATTGGGATCGGTTGCTTAAGAAAGCCTGAATCCACAGGTTGGTCTTGCCTCTGATGCCGTAGTGCTCCAGTTTGTGGGATAAAAGGCTGTGACAAACTTTGTCGAAGGCCTTGGCGAAGTCCATGATGAGAACATCAGTCTGTTTGCCATTTTCCATGTTCCGGGTTATGTCATCTGTGAATTCAATAAGCTGTGTTTCACAGGATCTGCCCTTTCTGAAGCCGTGTTGGAGAGGATAGAGAATCTTTTGTTTTTCGGCATGGTTCATGATGTGGCTGGTGACAATGTGTTCTAGGAGCTTGCAGCAGATGCACGTTAGGGAGATAGGGCGATAGTTTTCTGGTTTATATCTGCTGCCTTTCTTGTAGACTGGGGATACATTGGCTTTCTTCCAGTCATTAGGGATGGTGCTATTTTCAAGTGACAGCGTGAAGATGGTGTTGAGCATTGGAGCGATGTCAGATGCCAATTCCTTGAGGATGCGAGGACTTATGGTGTCGGGTCCTGCAGCTTTATGTGGGTTCAGTGCGAGAAGGAATTTGGTGATTCCGTTTGTGGTTATCGATATTTCAGGGGCTACAGGATGTGTTGATTGTGGATTGACGTAGTCCCCCTTCTTGAAGTCATCAGCAGTGATCTTGATGTTGTCTGTGAATACAGATTTGAACTGCCGATTTAGAATGTTAGCTTTGGACTTAGGATCGGAGTGGAGTTGTCCATGTTCTTTTAGTCCAGTAATTGTTTGATTGTCTTTCTTCTTGTGTTTTATGAAGGTCCAGAAACGTTTCTGACTGCTGTGTATGTTTGGATCTGAAGGCTGCGGTGTTACAATATTGTCAACATATGTCCAGTAGGCTTGTCGGAGTTTCTTCTGCACTAAGTGTTTGCAGTTCTTGTAATTTCTTTGATGTTGTTTGTCTTGAGATTTTTTCATTTTCTTATGGAGACGGTCACGTTTTCGAATAAGTCTTTTGATGTTTTTGTCAATCCATGGTGATGTTTCTCTTGGCCTAGCAGTTTTGTGGGGGATATGTTGTTGTATACTTGTTTTCAGTGTAGTTGTAAAATTGTCCCAGATAGTGTTGATGTCGGTGTTGTTTTCCGCCATTGACTTGATTGTTTGGTGGAGTGTTGCCATATCTTCCTTCATGCTATCCCATCTAGCCTTCTTGTATAGTGGGATCTTCCGGGGTGTTTGAGTGTGGGTGACAGGGCTGAGGTCAAGCTCAACGAAGACAGTGTCATGGTCAGATATGCCGGGCATTGTAGTTACTTGCTGTACTTTGCTAGGGAGATTTGTTATTACAAGGTCAAGAGTGTTGTTATTTCTAGTTGTATCTTCAACAATTTGGGTAAGTCCATTGTCATCTAGGCAGTCTGAGAACTGATAATGGAGGCGTGCATGGGCTGTGCCTGCTTTCAGTGTTTTTGATTTCCAGTCCCAGCCTGGGAGGTTAAAGTCTCCCGCAATGAGTAGAACAGAGTCTTTAATTGATGTTGCACGACTAACAGATTCTTGGAATTGAAGTAGGCTGTGTTCATCTGATGTTTTAGGATGGTAGAATGAGCAAATAAGCAATGATTTGGCTCCAACAATGTTGAAGACGACAATGATACTATGAAAGAGTTTTAGACATATCCAATTGCGCGCAAAATTTGAAGACGGAAGTAGCAAATAAATTAGTCATACGTAATTTAAACACCTGTTTGCAAGCAAATGTAATAATGTTATCATCATCACGCATTATAATCATAACATTTCTGTTAAAATTTAAGCATTCTTGTGTTTGAAATAAGAAAAGGTAGGAAATTAGAATCTATTTTTGATTTGTCATTAGTTTTCGCGTGCAAGTTAAAATTAAGTTGTTGGCTAACTTCTACCGCTCCAAAACATTGTAAACTTCAATATGTTAAATCTGTTGCAATATATCGCAATACCATTTTTGATGGCAATACCAATCGCTATGTTCTGATAACCATATTTTCACCAGGGGTAAAGGGTCAACCATAGGTTTTATAATATGTAGTGTTTTTACTGAGAACCATTAATTTAAGCTTGATATATGTAATATAAAAAGTCAAAGCCTCATAGTACAGTGCAGTAAGCTCGATTTACTTTTACCATGCAAAAGTATAAAATAATCGTTCATTTTACATTTTCTGTTTTAAAACTTTTATCACAGTTTTCTGTCATGCGGTATTTTATACACTGCTTCTGTTTATTCTGGTTCCCTGTCCCATTACGTTTCCCTTAGAAGTTTGCAGGAGACCAGTCTACGCATCTGTTTTCAATAAAAATTCTTCGGCTTTTGACGTTATCTTGTAATTCGAAAAGTTGTGATGTGTCAAATCAGCACTACTGGCAAAATTTTTTAAAGCCATCGCTTTTAGCAGGTACTCGCTTTACCGTGAAGCTAGCTTTGCACTTACAAACTTTCGCTATACGTATATGCAGTATTTCGATAGAGCGGAAGTCAAGTGTGAAATTTTTCATGCCAGCTCAAAATGTTTTTGTTTGTTTAATAAGAACAACTTTTATGTCAAAATAAAAATCCATGCATGGAATGAAGAATGAAAGCATTAGATGTTAAAATTATGAAATGTATTAAGATTTTTTTTGTTTAGGTAAAAATGATGGCTAGCAGGTTTACGAGTCGCAGTACACTGCACAATGCCAACAACACAACATTGGAGTTACAGCAGGATCTGGCTCGAAGTTCACCCGAGCAATGTGTGACCCTAACACACAGCGTTCCCTCCGTGCAGATGTACTGTGCTTTGAGAACCAAGCTTGATAATTGCTCGGATAAATGGCTACAGGTCAGTGCTGTTTTTCACTCTCGGGGAATTGGTGGCAGGGCCTATCTAGTGGGGGAGATCTCAGATTTGCACCCTTAGAGGGTAAAATATTGAAGCAGAGAAATTACTGATACAGTTTATTTTTACATTTTCAATTGTGATACTACACCATTATCATTTTATACTAAAAAGAATTGACCCTCTCTTTCGGTATAATGGTTATTAATATATACTTTTTGGTAAGGAGAATAAGTTATTTGGTTGGATTGAGTCTCCATATGAAATTGTGAATATAAAATTTGTGCTTTAATAGTTTCTCAGGACTTATTTTACTAAGTCAGTCTTTATTCATATTCTTTTATTTAAAGAGAGTAATTAACATTAAGAAAATTTAACATTGTAGGTGATATAAACTATTTGATATTCAAAAAGTTGCTACATATTTTGAGAAGCATTTTCTGATACAATTCAACTTGTTAACATATTGCAATATTTATTTCAGGAGTTTCTGTCTCTGGATGGTCTAGACAGCTTGTTAGATTCCCTGTACCAGATGTCGGCACGTAGCTTCACATGTATATCTGATGCTATATTACAGATGGACTGTATCTCTTGCGTTCGTTGTATACTAAACAACACATTGGGACTGGAATTCTTCATCAATAGTGATGTTTGCACAAAGAAACTGACAATGGGTAATTATTTGAATTTTCTGAAACCTCTGTGGTTGAGTTGAATCACTTGCCCCTTATCAATGGGCTGGTATTCACTTCTAGTGACTATGAATTTTCTAATGAAAAAGGAAGCTTTCAAACTAGATATGGAAGGTTGGTGGCTCTACTCATGTGCTGGATTGAGACTGATACAAAACAAGCTACATTCTAAAAGGACTTGCTTCACCAGTAAAGCTGGAAATTGTTATATGATTTCTACAACATTGGCGGGACTAAAAATCCAACTTAAGCTTTTTTGCAGGGAGGGGAAGGGTTTTTTCCTTTTAATTGAGAAAAGTTGCTAAGTATATTTTCACATTTAGTTTTAATATGGCTGAATTAATAGCTGATATTGGGTCATATTTTGAAATTTAGATAGAATGTTTTTTTCTCAGTTCTTTAATTCTTGTGTAGATATTCTGATTGAAACATATGTACTAGAAGTGTTTTTAATTTTTCGAAAATATGTGAGTTGTTTTTTTAAAGTTGTAACCAACTATTAAGTTGCTTACTTATAAAGTTTCCAATTTCAAGGATCTGGGTGATGATCATATACAGTTTTTAAAAACTACAGAAAAAAATCATAAAATATTTATTTCAGCATTGAATTGCAATGAGACATTACCTAAGAAACAAGCATTTGAGATGTTATCAGCAGTGTGTGTATTCAGTAATATAGGCTACCTGAGGGTGATGGAAGGCCTGTCTTATATAAAGGTAAGCTATGATAGATTGTTTGTTTTTCCAGAACAAAACAAAACGTCAGATGTTCATTATTGGTCTTTACTACGATTTTGCACACTTCACAAATTCTTCTTTAGAGTTGTAAGTGGTTGAGGTGGTTGACTTCAAACCACTTGCCCCTCACTGCTGTGGGTGTGAGTCCAGACATTGGATTCTTTCATGTGACGAAGCTATTCAGTTAGCTTACGGAACTTTGTTGGCTCTTCTCAGGTGTGGCTTTGTGCCTGAAATAATGGACAGAATGGGACTTGAGGTCTTCCTCCACTAGTAAAGCTGGAAAGTTCTTGTATGACCTATTCTGTGTTAGTGTGACGTAAAACCCAACCAGAAAAAAATGCTTCATTTCATATAATACAGGGCCAGTTAGAGAATTTCTCATTCTGAATTTATGCTAGGTACATAGTTAATTAGAATAAAAGCACATTTTAGGTCCAAATAATGAAGCAAGTCTTCTCAGTATCTCCTATAGATGAAAGATTAACAATGGTTCATTTAGGACTGAATACTCGATCATTATATCTTCTTTATTAAAAACATGTATCCACTTTAAAAAATCTATGTATTTTGACTAAATCATGATGAAACTGTTGTGAAACAGTGTCTTATACAGTCATGTAGAAATGTTGAATGGTAGAGTTGATGTACCCATTTTCAGTCACTAGGAATTCCTTTTTTGCTCAAAATTATTTCAGAACAAGTTTAGCTGTTGTCGTAATTTTTAACAGCCATAGTTTTTTTCTCCCACTCCGCCAGTAAAACTTATTTCATGACAAAAAATTTAACAGTTTTGCAGACCCTATGCACAAAACATGAATAAAAACCATAGTTGATATAGTACATTTATATTATATTTACAGAATGAATGTGACCAGTTACATAGATTCAGTATGGTGGTGAGGGATTTACAGAAATGTGAAACTGTTGCCTTTAAAACTGCTGTCATGACATTTATAAATACATTGATTAACTGTACACCTACAGTAATGGAGCGTATGAGGATCAGAAATGAATTTATCGGTAAGTTTTTCTTGTCAATAAAATCTGCCGCAGGCTGGTCTGGATCCATGCTGGTCGCAAACCCATTATGTTGCTTTTGTCATGACGCGGCTCATTAATCTGAATATAAATTCTTTTCATGAAGTTCTGAAATATGAAGTCTGTAAATGTGCATTCTGTAATCATAGGTTTATTTATTTACTAAAGGTTTAAGTCTGTGACAGTGAATCACATTGAATCGTAATCGGGGCAGATATGCTACACAGTTAATATTCTTTTTGTGCCCTGGAGCCATCTTGCTGGTTAAAAAATTTGATGGGTGTGTCTATGGCCGGGTGGTTACGGTTGTTGACTTTTTACCACATGCCTCTTACAAGCCCTGCAGGCGTTGTTGGATTCTATCCAGCTAGCTTACAGAACTTTGGTGGTTCTACTCAGGTGCCCATTTGTGCTTGAAATAATGTACAGAGGGACATCTGTGGTCTTCTTCCACCAGTTAAGCAGAATGTTGCCATATGACCTATACTGTCACTGTGTTCGTGTGTCATGATACCCAAACAAAAACAAATAGCACTGTTTTAATGGATATCATATCATGATATGATACAGTGTCTGTGTGAAATAGTAACTGTGTCAGTGAAATAATAAGTTTTAAAGTTTTGGAAATGTTTATAAAATGGTCTTTGTGAAAAAATATAAACAGGGGCCCTTTTTTGTGGGGTAAAATATAACAGTTTAAAAACAATGACAGTGTCTGTGTGTTTTGTCAAAAAATGTAAAAAGTGTCTCTTTTAAAATTTCATTTTAAAAACATGTTGGTCAAAAAATATAAATAATTCTGTGAGTGACTTTAGTAACATTGCCTGTGTGTGAAATTAAAACTTAGTGTGTGAAATAATGTAAGAAGAATTTGAGTAAAATACAATGTAGTAACATTGCTTTGTGTGAAATAATGAAAAATATTAATTTATAGCATCTGAGTGAAATAGAAACAGTGTCTTTGTTATATTAAGATTTTATCTGTTTTCAGAGAAACAGTCTGTGTGTGAAATAAAAATGTAACTCGGATAATTAATAGATATAAACTATGCATTCTGTATGCATGAAATATTCACGTGTTTTCTTTACTGTGATATATTGTACAGGTCTTAACCTACTAGAAATGTTGTCATACATCAGAAGAGAGGAACCAGATGAAGATTTACTTCTACAACTTGAGGTTGGTTCATCTTTTTAAAAATATGATCACTCAAGTTTCATCACATTTTAACATTTTATTTTGTGACTTTGTTAAAAATATGAAATGTATGTTCTATGTGATAAATTCAAATTATAAGAAATTAAACGTAAATCAATTTTTCTTAAAAAATGGATGTGACAAAAAAAGTAAATAATATGTTTTATGTTACTAAATTGATTTGTAACTTACATTATGTTTTACATATTGATGTTGTATTTGATAATGTATTAGTTTGTACAGAATAAATTTTAATTTTATTGTGCACAATGTTTTTGACTCATCATATTGATAAATGTGCCCTGATTGTAGTAAAATGTTGGTAAAATTATTTTGTTTAACTTCATGATAATTCATTTAGGAAATAGATATCAATTCTGAGTGCATTGTTGTAGAATAATGCACGGTTTGAGTTCAAATGCGTAGTAATATAATCACGAAGGTCGATAGGCCTGAGTGATTAATTACAACGCATTTGAACGAAAAACGTGCATTATTGTACGTTATTATACAATAATGCACGAAGAATTAATATCTATTTCCATTCTAACACGTCAAGAAAAAGTATAATTATTATTATAAAGTTGGACTTTATGTTTCGTGGTTAAATTTGTTTTCGCCTCAGAGTTTCCAATAGAAACGTTCTTTAAAGGCTGTTCCAGTGGGTTGAAAAAAAAACTGTCGTTAAATCTACTGTGTGTAGAAACATTTTGAAAATAACAAATTTTGAAAACGTTGATAAAACTTTGTTTGTTCATTTTATTTCACTCTATAATTTTTCAAGCGAAATACAAATTATTAAAAATGAAATAAATGTAAAACCTAACTCGTCTGCGATATTAAAGGTACTCCACTGAGGTACGGCCGAATGTCACAAAAAAAAGTAAAATTTCACAAACCGATAATTTTTTGTTACCTACGAGTTAAGGACATTCTAACAGAATCAGTGATACATTGAAATGTGTTCTTTGGATTGGCAAGTCGTTTGAAATACATATTTTCTCCAATTTTGTGGGAAAAGCGTTTAAACACCTTTCAGTTTGCAAATCTGAATAAAAACAACGGTCACGTGATGTTTCTCGGGATGACTAAAAAGCGAAACGGAGAATTTTTTGTGTATCGGCAGCAACGAAAGTGCGAAACCGGAATATACCAACAATCCATAAATTTTTAAAGCAAATAATGGGTTTGTTTTGTTAAATTTCTTGTTTTGGTCACATATGTTCTTGTGAGAAAAATCTTTCAAAAGCAATTTCAATATATTTAAAGTATTACATTGTTGTAATCATGTTTTTTTTCTCTATTACAATGATGAATTTAGCTAAACGTGCGGAGTTCGAAACTGACATACACAAATTTACAAATATTCTATGTTAATTTGAGAGCTTTCGTGTTATTATTAAATATTATGTATTAACTTTGTAATGGTTAAAAATATCATGATATCTAGGCTAAGAAAATTTTACTTTGTCAATCAGTGTAATGGGTCCTATTTCAAAGGTCACTTTGGTTTATCTGACACCCGTTCAGGAAAAAAAAAAACTTCGTAATACCTTTATACAAAGAACATGAACTTGAGTATTGTAAGCATAAAAAAATCACACGCACACACAGAATGTTATTCCAGAGATTTCTCTTTAACTCTGATCAAAGCACTGAAAAGCACTGGCTTAATAGAGAATGAATCCGGCCTCATTATAGGACATTTAGGCTTCAACTTTATTAGATAATATTTCTAATGTATGTCTAGTGCACATAATTAAAATTCTTTAAGAAAAAATCGATCTCCTTTGCTGGATAGATCTGGAATTTAATATTTATCATTTTACATACATACTTGCATATTTATCCGCATTGGATGTAAACTTTGTTGATGAGACGAATTAATATGTTTTGATCTAGACATTCAAAAACTATAGGAAATTGATACCTGTTTCATGCACATGGGTAACATTATCAAGAAGGTCGGAAAAGAGTTACAATCTGGCTCTATTAATATTATTATTATCATTATTGATTTTAGCAGATATCCTGATAAATTTTCTTTCTTATTGGAAGGCCTCCGTACTAGTGATGGGTCAATTGAAGCTGTGCTTTAATGTTACCAATATATTGAAAGCTTCCCAGTGGAAAAGAATATGAGAGCGTTATAAGAGTAAAAAAGGAAACTGGAATAAAGACAATCAAGGCGACGGCAACGTTCACATGACGCAGCCCCCGACATAGTCAAGCTTCCACAGCAGGGTTATTGCCGTGACTAGTGAAATAAACTTAAAACTGATTATATAGTTGTTGTGTCTTTTAACCCTAAACTTTCTTTCAAATTAACGAAAACAAACAAAAATTCATGATTACAAGCAAAGACAAATGTTGTAAAGGGCCAGGTAAGTAAAAAGGTAACTTTTTAAAGAATTTCAGTAAGGATATTATTAACCTTCACCTCATACAACAAAAACCATTGCCCTTAAACTATGTTTTATAATACTTCCAACTCCTAGACGGTAAAGGGCAATGCATATCTAAACCATTGATTTTAATCCTTATAGCCTGTTTATCATGGCATACTCATTGTTAATAGTTTTGTAAATGTTTTGATAAAAAAGTCGGGTTCATTTCCCATTTTTGAAAACATGAGTGACTGGTTTCAAAAACTACAATGGCTAAATATTGATCGGATGCATTTCATTGCATTTATAGCACTAAAACCTTTACTTTTCTCTTCTTTCTTCCTGTTTTTCATTTTTGTTGTTTAGTCTTTTTATTTACCACTTGAAAGCCTGAAATTAATGTTTTCATTGATAATTTAGCTGTGGTCCTGTGTTGCTTGGTCGTGTTTAAAAGTAGCTTTGGCTTATAGAATTGTCAATGAATGCACATTCACAAATTACGCGGATGAATATCATTTTAATCAATGAAAATGCTATTTTAAGCGATGTCGAGAGCTTATTTCACAAATAAATCTGACTGTCGAGTTGTGGAATATATACATGTCGGACTGTTTTGGCGAGAAGATTTTTGTTAAATTATTTACATCAATGTTAAAGAACAGGTTTATCTTGAACAAAAAACCTCGAAATTAACCCGAAATGCAGTGAAAAATCTAAATTTAGTAATACTTGATTTTATTCAGGCATTGTTCGTATATCTTCTCCATGGTGCAAGGGTAACGCGCTCGATCGTTTAGTGTGTCTGAGGTTCAAATCCAATTCAAGGCAATTATTTTTTATAAAGTTTCTTTGTTAAGGAAATAGCCACGATATGCAAGGATAAAGTGTGGCTGTCATAAAAATGAACATGATAAATGATTTTTTGATGCAACTCTAGTCATGCAAAATTCCATATGTATCAAACTCTGGTACCAAGCAAGAAGAATTATAGTACATAAAAATAAACTTATACAGGAAAATAATACAGTTATACAGTGCGATTTATATTGCAAAGATCAGAAAATACCACAGAGCTTGCAGCCTTTTGATTTATCTTGTTTTTCGTATGTATTTCTGGAGATTATGTGGGTGGTTCTCGTTATACTTTAAGATTTATAAGATTGTGTATGAAAAGGCTTTGTAAATTGTTTCGGAAATACTGGATATCGTTTTAAAATTTTTAGAGCTACTTAAGTATTTTAAACACGTGAACAAAAATTTCACAGTAACAGGAATTAAAATTAATTCCTAAGTATTTCGGTTATAGTGATTATACCGTAATCAAACGTTAAAGGTCTCCTAAGAAATTTTCTTTGGAATTAAAAATTAAGTGTAAGCACTAGAACATAAACCACCAGATTGCTTGCAAAATCTTTATCGGCAGGATAAATTGGTTCACACAACATGATTTTTCACAGTCAAGATCAAACGAACAGACTGTCATTTTCTTCCTGTTACCGGAAAACACACACCAGGAAGATTTCAAGTAGAGAACACGTCACTGACAAAATGTTCTTAATATTTGAATAGAAAAGAATTTGCTAAAGCCAGTTTATGAGAGAAATCGGGGATGCTACTTATTAAATTATTTGCCCATAAAAGAGGATTTATTTTACTCGTTTAGATTATTTTCAAAAACAAAAGTCTCAAAAAGCAAAGGTTAGCTGATATTAAAATGTAAACCGCGACATATAATATTAATTTACCTGTGAAACTGGAGTGAAAATGTGATAGTTTATCCGGTTTTTTCTTCAGTGCCTTCAGCACTTTGATCTTATCTGTAGTACAAGTAAACTATATCGTTTTCACCAAAATCATTAAATTCTAAACAAGTTTCTAATAGAATCATAAACATTTATTGTATCATAGTTTGAAGAATTTTCTGTTGAAAACATGTCAGAGTTAAATCGAATTCATATACATGCACAGTGCGTAACTGGAGTGCAGGTAATAAATACCAACACTCCAGAGCATGCCCATTGATGTACTCATTCTTTTTTTTTTTTGGGGGGGGGGGGGGGTGCTTTTATGGAATAACGATAGAATTGCCACATTCAGAAGCTGGTTCATAGGTTTTTTCTGGGGTTTCATATTGTTACAATAGGAAACGTGCATTTAATTTTGCCTATGGTATGAATATGATGTAATTGTGTGTGGAACGTGTATGTACGATCCTATCAAGATAGCCTACGAAACGTCACTCATACATACACAGATGCCCGTTTGTGTCAGAAACAATTTTGCAAAGGGGGAACCCGAGTTCGTTCTCCACCAGTAAAACTGAAGAGTCGCCAAACTGACCTACAGTTTTGTGTGACATAACCCCTCTCCATCCCAAAAACAAACAATCAAATCAAATGAGACATGCCATTAACTGTATTTGATTTAAATACGTTATAGATAGCGTTAAATACTTTTATTAGTGTGATTACACTGTGCTCGTTTTAGTATAAATATCACCGATGCATTATGTTTGCCTTAGAATATTGAAATTGAAACTGAAATGTCAATGAAAATAATTGTACATGTATATAATATCTTTCCGTTTTGTCTAGAAAATGACCGCTTCGCTGGCGTTTGATTTTTCAAGACAACGAAATTGCTACTTTGATTATCTTTTATACAGTTTTCCTTCGTTATACTCAAGTTATATAAACACGATAGGTTAGAGTTGAGAAAAAAATCAATAGACTTTTTTACCCCCGTTTACTCTGTTGTTCCAAAAATGTCTGTTGCGTATTTTAGTTATACCCGATGAATTGTGGGTAACTTCTGTACATGTCTGGGAAAACCAACTTTCATTTTTGCATCAAAAGCTAATGTGAAAATGCATTTTCTAGCATAATTGTTGTTAGAGGGTTGGTTAAAGTGTAAGTTATTGTTATTTTAGTCATAATATTGTGATTTGTGGGGAAATTTGTATACATTTTTTTTGGACACCAAATTACCCGTCAGACCTCAGTGTAGCCCCTTTAAAATAACGTACTTGATTTGATTGTTTTGCACGTGCTGTTTGGCGCTACATTGTGACGTCACGTAAACAACACTTTAAACGTCTGTACAGCGTTAACGACTGAATTAAAGATATTGGTGTTCGGATTCATTTTCTTAGTTAGACCATTTTCTATCATTCTAGATAGTTTTCACAACAAAATTCGACAAATAATTGTTTTAATTTATCAGATTTTTAAACAAAATGGCGCCCTCAAAGTGAAAATATACAGGGAGATAATAAGAACGGCGAGTGCATTATTGTAGAATAATGCACACTTCCGGCCTTCTTTGTCTATATAGGAAAATTTCCGATAGTGTTAGAATTATTATTATATAATTTAGTGTGTAAATGTTACAGTAATTGAACTCCACTGGAAATAAGTTTTTAACTTAATGGGCAATCCTAGGGTAACATAAAACATACGTCCTAATTGTATAATTTAAAATTTTGTTTCATTTGTGTTTTTTTATAAGCATGTTAATATATGTGACAATATAGTATGTGTTTATGTATATTTCTCTAAATAAATTGATCATCTGTGTAACAATATATATGAAATGTTGTATAACTATGATATCTGTCAGGTTTTCCATGAGAGGAAGTTGTCAGACGAGGAGAGTGTCTCTGCCAGTAACAGCATAGACCTTAACAGCCCTCAAGATCTTCAGGACCAGATTCAAGCCAGGGTAAACATTAAATGTCAAATACCTCTGTCCTCATCAACGTTTTACTAACTTTGATATTTTATAGACTAAAATTTTTAATACAATAAGAGGTGACATTTCTAAAAGAAGCATAGAAACTTTGATTTTCAAACAAAGGTACTATTATAAAACTTAATTTTTTTTAAGTAACAGTAGGCACAGAAATATTAAAATGTGAACATGGCATTTCTCTTTTCTTCAAATTGTAAAGGGACCTTATATCAGCACCTTCTACATTGTATATAGGGAAAAGAATGTACTAGTACATGCTGAAATTGATTAAAAATCATTGACAAATGTAATGATAATTAATGTAATGTTATTTTTACAGGTATTTGGAACACCCAAGATGGCTAACTTTGTCAACATTTTACAAGATTTGTTGTCTATAGAAACTGTTTACAAAGATAACAGGTACTGATTGTCAATGTATTTACAAGAAGAACTCTCTAATCTGTAGTAAAGTTTTACCATTTAACTCTTGAGAGTTAGTAACTATGACAACAAAGCTAAGAAACTAGAATAGATTTACCCAGAATTGCTTATCTATGCTGGCTTATCAGACTATACTGATGTTTCTAAGCATTTGTGCTGAAATCCCTCAGGATAATAATATAAGTGGCAGTATGGCCAAATGGTTAAAACATCAGACAAGTAATCTTATGATCTCAAGCCGCATGGGTTTAAACCATGTAAGGGGCAAGTTGTTTCCTTGAGCAAGAAACTTTGCACTCATTGCTCAGTTCTGGTTGGTTCCAGGAATAGATTAGACACTGTGTCTATAAGCTTATAGCTTCATACACAATCAGACTAAAATAAATTCTGTATAAACTATCAATGGACTGTCTTAAAGTTGGTCATCCTTTACATGAATTCAGTCTTGTATACATGAATTACTTGATTTTTGCACTTTTCAAACAGGCTATAATTTTTGTGATTATTGTTTATGTATTTTAACAGTGGGAAACTATGGCAGACGGTGGACAATCTAATACACCATGTAATACATACAATAAGTTCTTCTGACCTAGATAATATACAGACGGAACTTCAACAATTCCCGGAGCAGTTTGCACTTGGTCTACAATGTGTGTTTGCCTACCAAGACACCGTCAAAATGTCGTCTGCTGCAAGCAAACCAACAGGAAGTGGTGATAATGGCGGTGCACCAAATGAACTTGGTCAGACTTCAAAACCCTGTGTCCCACACAAATATACAAACAATAATAATGTTGTTGATATTGAGAGGAGAAGTGGATTAAGTAAGAACATAAATTCAAGGAAGAATTTCAATCAGAATTCTATAGGAAGCACAGGGTCACACAACTCTTCTAGTGGGCAATCTGATCATAGTGATAACAGTGAATCTCAAAATAGAACTGTTACTATTTTTAGACACAATATGTCGTCTGCAGCATCATATCAGAATGATGTTAGTTCAGGAAGTGGTGTTAATGATAAAACTGTTGTCGTCAGAAATAAATACTGTTCCCCAACAGAACTTACATTCTTCAGTAATAAACTGGATGACAGTCAGACGTCACCATTTAACAATTGTAGTAAGTCAAGCTTAGAGAGTTCTAGTTCACCATACAATGCTGACTTAAGCTGTAGTATTTCTAGTAAACTCTCAAAGGAAAGTCAAGGACATAAAACGTTCAATAAAACAGATGAGAGTAAACAAAAGTGTGAAATGAATATAAACATGTCAGAGAGCAAGGCCTATCAGTATGATCAAAATAAAATTAAAAATAAATTAGATGATTTTTGCTACGGTTTACAAGATAACAGAAAATCTAGCAGCACACCAGTCTGTACAACAGGTAGATATTCGACATCAAGCTTGAAGCAGTCTGATGGATGGCGGGAACCAGGGCAGTCTGTTCACAGGGAACCAGGAGAGAAGTGTCGTGGGAATCAGAAGCCGAGTAACAGTATATTTAGACAAGACGTTCCTAAACCTACAAGAGAATTAAACCATCTTAAATGGATTTGTCTCACTGATGATATGATAGGTATTGCTGGTGTTAAGTAATTTTATTTCATGCTTTCCAGTGTTTTATTGTAATATATCAGATGATTATATTCTGATAAACCACTAGTGAAATTTATAAAATATAATTTTCACTGTAGCCGGACTATATCTGAATGCGGATGAAAAGAAAATCATAACTAAATGGAATAACAGGCAGAAATAAATGCTGTCATGCGTAAATTTTGCTTCTTTTAGGAAAAGAAAGTCGATGTCACTATACATACATGTTAAAAATGAACAAATTAGAGAAATTTAACAGAACTATATTTTCAAAATTAATGATGTGACGTCCATGATTGTGATGACGTCACAAAGGAGAATGCGCCGACGTTACGCGGCAGAATCAGTAAAAAATACTTAAAATCACTTAAAAAGCATGAAATAAAAAGAAAATTTATTTGTTTTACATATAAGATTGAAATATATTTCATTCGTGAACACCAGCTATTATATTTTCACTCGTGGCTACGCCACTCGTGAAAATATTTGCATCTGGTGTTCACTCAGTGAAATTATATTTCAATCTAACATGCAAAACAAACAAATATCCTCTATGTATTATATTTCATCAATATAACAGGACATTTATAAGTTGTTCTGATACATTTTCACATAAATGTTTGGAAAAAAGTAATTTAAGCCTTGCATGAATACATATTCTTGTTCATTGTGCTGTTGAAAGTTTAGCTTGATATAGTTTCCACAGAAGTTTCTTTAGTATGCTTGTGTTTGTCTGAACTTTGGACCAACTGCCAACATAACTAATTATCTAAATACATTTTATAAGTTTATAATGTTACTTTTATCTGATGTAGCCAATTATAGATTTAGAAGTCGCCAAACGTTACCATAGTGTCAGATATTCATTTATATATTTGTTTGTGAATACTGAACAATTTTATTTTAAAGAATGCTTGCATTTTATATTTTCCGTATTAAATTTACAAATATAGATTTAACAATATCTTTGCTTTAAGGCATGTCAGTTTATAAAAGAACTTTAGCCCTGTAATTATAAATTGTAAGATAATGATAATGTTATTTCAGTTGGCCGGGAACCATGTGTTTGGTTACCACCTATCATTAGTGACAAGACAACACCTGACTATCAGAGATTAGATTCTACATTCCAGATAAAATTTCCTGAACATCTTGAAGCTATTGAAGAGGTAAAAACACTTATTAATTGACGGAATAGAGTAAATAGTTTTATGTTTAGAGGATAATTGTTTGATCCATTGTAAGATTATAAGAATCTTCGTCATGTAAAGCATGCGACTTGTCTTACATTGGGGTGTAAGACAGGGTTTTCTAGCACCTGTGTAAACGGTAGATAATCCTGTCTGATATGCAAGAAAGAGGTATATTTTACTGAGTTAAACACCAGATGTGATATTTTCATCAAGCAACATATATTGAGAATAATTTGATCTTGAACATTTGAGTTTTTATTGTCATTTGTCACTCACTGCAGATTTAGAAATCATCTGGGATAAGTAATCTTTCACTTGCAGAGAAAACTAGTAATTACTGGTTAGTTATCCAGGAACAGTTGGTAATAGGTAGATCGATGGCCTAGAAATTACCAAAAATGTTTTAAAGTTGGCATTAATCCAAAAATAAACTAATAAAAAGGATGTAATAAAGGGAGTCTTATTCTGCCTAAAAAAAATTATGTAACTTATTTGTTAGTGTTGACTTTAACTACTTATGGTAATTTTAGAAATTTCATTATCAGATTTTATATTGAATAACAAACAGTATGAAATTTGGTAGACTGTTTAAATGAACTGGTTGTTTAGTCATCACCCTAGCAGATCTGTGAGGGTTTGAAAGGCACTTGTATATTTTCCTTCATTCAAGTCACATGAATTTGTATTTTATATCAACAAATAATGTTTTGAAACACTTTATTTCAGGTTGTTTTATTAAATGCTAATACCAGACTGAGAATTAACCTGTTTCTGAGTAGACTGGATTCTGGTGCGGAGGATCTGGTGCAACATTTAGAAGAAGGGGACAAGACCAGACTTACATTACCTATGTTGCAATATCTCAATAAAATTATGCCATGTCTCGAGGAGGTATATCTTCTAGTCATTTATCATTATAGAAAATATGTATTGCAGATTTTGTGTTGCTGATTAAAAAAAAATTATATGACATGTTTCACTGTTTGGAAAGCTTCATATGTACTATACATAGTAAGATACAAACATTAATACATAATTGAATAATAGATGTAGAAGTGTGAGTGGTTAATTTAACCACCTTTATCTTTAGAAGACGTCATTACCTTTAGCCCATAAGTGGTAACTGATTGTACCTTGCAAACTGTATATGTTACTCAATTATAATAAAATATAGGTTTAAGTATTGTGTATTGTATCTGAAACTATTTCTTTGCTCGTGCTAATAAAACTGATAACACAAAACAATATAAAATATACATATACAAGCTATTGTAAACTATGATATTTCCAGATAGAAATGTTGAGACAGTATAAAGGTCCGAGACTTGAACTTGGTATGGCAGAACAGTTTGTCCTGCTACTATCAGACATGCCGGACTATAGCATACTGTTGGAGGGTCATACAATGCACCGGGAATTTGAGGCGACGGTCAAACAGTTCCGGACATCGTTAGATACCATGATTGACCTGGCTAAGTTGATCTTGAACAGTGAGGAATTCAAACAACTGATGCACCTTATCCTTAATGTGGGAAACTACCTGAATTATGTAAGTTACTTAAGACTATGTTATCACTATCTGTAGTTATTGTTAATGTTTATTTAGAAGAAATTCAGTACAAAATAAACAAACAAAGATTGCATGCACATTTTTCGTTTTGTGTGATGTTCAACTACTAATATATAACATATAGTATACAAACATTTCGGTCAAGCTTGATACCATAAGTGTGTAGTTTTCTTTCATATTTTTTGTAAATTTCATACATCAATGCCAAGTATATTTATGTACATGGTTTTCTTAGTTTTGTTAAAAAGCCAATATCATAAAATTATTTTTCCTTTGTCATATTTTATGAATATTATTTTTACAGAATCAGTTTCACGGTAATGCTGCAGGATTCAAGTTATCATCACTAGAACGTCTACAGGAGGTAAAAACTTCCTCCCCAAACAAAACACTCGTACATTGTATTGTACAGACTGTTGTAGAGAGATGTAAAGCTGACTTCTCGTTTGTCCGGAAGTTCCTGCCACTAGAGAAAGCTGCTAGGTATGAACATCTGTACAACATAGTCCTCATTTAATCTAGACTTTTCTACTCACCTATGCGTTAGCTTAACACTTCAGTTAAAGTTTTTACACATTACTACATGCAGAACTCAATGACTTAAGGTATTTAGATGGAACTTCACACATGTATTTGAGAGTTTACTATCCATGGTCCTGCATCTCCTGCATGGATTTTGACTGATTTATGGTCCTTTATGAGCTTTTGGAGGTTAGGTTAGGTTAGGATCATAATTGTTTGTCATTTTCCAAGAATCAAAATTTGTCATGTATTTTAAGTGAAATCGTCCTTTTCCTAATTAAACAGGCTCTTCTTTTTACTATCCATCAATGGGATTAATGGTACACTACTGGCAGCTCGCCTGACATTTACAAACATTTCAATTTAGTTACATTGGTATCAAGATTCAAATATTCTGCTAATTTCAGGTAGCCCAATTTAGCTTTATATTTTATTCTGAAATCACCGTGAAAAGAGCTCCAAATTCAAAGTAGGACAAGGCCATTCTGGAATATTACTAGTGTAAGGGTAAAATGAGTTTTCTTTTTTATAGTTTCAGTATGGAAGAAATGAAAGCTGACATAAGTAAACTAAATGGCAAGTTGAGATATTTCATGAACAATCTAACACAGGCTAGTGGTAGTCTACAGAAAATGTTCCAACCCTTTATTGAGGTAGGTTGTCAAGTATGTGAATATGTAAACTATATGACAAAATTGTGTAAACTGTATGTCAAAACTAATGAACAAAATTAAACTTTAAAGATAAATGTATTTCAGATATAAAAACATGTCTAAATGTATATTTAATCTGTGTTTCAGGATTTATGTGTTTTGTGCAAAAGTTTGACTTAATATATATCTTTATATTTCTACCTGGTCCCTTGCAGAGTAAGAGCTTAAATTTCACATACTTGTATATTTTCTGATATTATGTCTCCCAAAAATTACATATTGATTTTATCTTCCCTGTATGTCTGTCCGCATTATTAAAGCTAGTTCGGCTTTCACAGGTCAAACTCCTTGGGGGATTTCAACCAAACTTCACAGAATCAATCAGTACCAACCCTAGTTGTGCATATCGCTGGCATGTTCCGCTTTGCTGCACAAAATGGCTACCAGAGCTATAAACAGAAAAATCTGTCCAGCTTTAACATGTCAAACTGCTGGCGAGATTTTGACATTATTTTTTAGTACTATCCCTGGTTGCACATGTAGATGGCAGGTACCACTTAGCTGCCTATATGTGCTGTGTATAGATTGGATTGAATGCCATTTTAAAATTAGTTCTCTGAAGATAAACTTTAATAGTTTACATTGTATCAAATCATTTTTATCTGCCAAAGATTAAGACATGTATTGCCATCAATTAACCACTTAAAATGTTAGGATTTAAAATAAAACCAATGATTTGCATTCATATAGTACCACTGTAACAGCATATTGTTATTTCATGTACAGGATTTAAAGAAAGAGTTTAGCAGCATACAGAATGCTACGACAGAGTTACGGACCCTGACTGATGATCTGGCAGCGTATTTTTGTGAGGATGAAACAAGATTTAATATACAAGATTGTTTTAAGTGTGTCATAGCTTTCTGTAAAGATATACAGAAATGCCATAGTGTAAGTTTACCTAGTAGTTAGTGAACTGAATTCTGCATTAGGGGCCTTGGTGGCTTAGTGATTAAGGTTGTTGCTTTTAAATCACTTGCCCCTCTTAGGTGTTGTTTTGTAAAGAACTTTTGAATACAGAAAGTTAGTGTTTCTACTCCAGTACCTGCTTGTGCCAGTCTTAATGCACAAATGATCACCTGAAGTATTTCTGCACCAATTAAGTTGTCTTATGATCTTTACAGTGTAAATGAGACTTAAAATTCTACAAAATCAAAAGTAAACAAACAGTTCTTGGTTAATTTACATAACATACATAAAAAAATGTTTAAGGATATATTTCCAGTATTTCTTACACAATTTATAGCATGAAACAAACATACACAATTATGATGAAAGTATAATGGTTGTATAAAATTTCAGGAGACTATGAGTTTACAATGTCGTCAGCAAATAGAAAATAAAAGATCAGGAGATCTGCTGCAGAAGAAACTCAAGAGTAAATTGTTGTCACTAGAGTTTGGCCAGAATGCAGGTAATTTCTGATATCTCTGTAGCTAGTGATCTTGTTTTATAAATGCTATAATAAATGTAAAAACATGTCTTGAAAAATTTACTTATACTTTTATTTGTAAGTTTTATAAAGGAATATAATGTAAATGACTGCTTCAAATTTTGATGAAATCTTTTCATTTGCAATTTATTGGTATCTTTTATATAATTAATAGGTACATCTGTAATGATGGATTATAAGATATACTATGCTCATCCATGAGGAAAATATTGTGATAACAGAAATTTATTGAAATCTATGAAATTCTAACTTAATAATTATGTCTAATTTGAATAAAAGAATAAACTTCCTATGTCAACTCTGAATTGGAAGCCCTATTACAGGACAAGTAAAGTTGATTTTTTGTTAAAAAAAACCAAACTGCAAGTTATTTTAATGAGGAATGTTTATTCATATTTTGACCACCTATAAACATATCATATTTACTTTGTATGAAGTCAAACCATGTTTTTTTTTATATTTACAGAGACTGTGTAAGAATTATCAATATTTCCTAATATCATATTTGAGCATAGTATATCTTTAAATATATTTATTATATATATATCTGCTGTACTATTGTATAGCATAAAAAGTGTAACTTGAAAAAAAATATGTATTGCATATGAATTTGTCTGGTATGATTATACAACTTTTGAATATAAATATTTAGTAAAATGGTCAAAGGGAGACTACTTTGATCAAGACTCTTTTATGTCATTATTAACCCTGCTATATATTATATAAATATAATTATAAAATACATGTGTATAACATGCATTAAGCTACAGTATTGGGCTGAGAGGCTAAGGTTACTGATTTGGAAAACTTCCCCCTTAAAAGTTTGAGTCCTGATAGGGACTGAAATCTTTCACGTGAAGAAGCTGTCAAGCTACCTTATAGTGGTTCTACTCAGGTTTCTCATGTACTTGAAATAAAGCATGGGCAGGCATCTGATTCTTCATATACCTGTAATATTGTAAAGTCACAAAAAAACATAATACTCTTAGTGTGACATGAAACATAATCATAGAAAGTAATAGTTGAGCTACCATTTATGTTGTTATTGTAGGAGCCAGCTCTTCAATGATGGAGGAGAAAACAAAAGTTATAGAGAAGATTGTTACCCAGCTTCATCAAGGCAACTTTAACCCTTGCATTAAATCAACAATGCCCACACCGGACCGGGAACAAGCACATCCATTGGAGATGAGTTGTATACCATTTGTTGGTTCCCCGTCTCAGCCTAGAGGAGGACAGGGCACCAGTGATAATGTATTCCTTGATACACCAGAACTTGTCTGTGCCAGTAAGTTTACTGTATATAATCTTGTCATATCTTGTGTTATGATACCAGAGTATCAAAATTATAGTATATATTTTCTAAATTAACAACAGTTTATTCTACAAATTGGCTAATATCATATGCTTGTATTTGATAACTTACATCATAGATAGAACATAAGATTGCATAAGTGATTCGAGTGAAGGAACACTCACTTGTATTCCTTAATTGTATTTAATTGATAGTTGTCATTTTATAAAAGTATACATTATGTGATACCAAAAGGTTTTAAGGAAAAAAATATTCTGTTGTAGATGGATCATAGTTTATTAATACTTTGTTTGACTTACAATACACTTGTCAATTCTTAGCATCAACTATGCTCAATTATCTGAAATAAGCTAGGATGTAAAGTGAATTTGTGTTATAGAATAGAAGTAAATCAGTACATTGAAAGACACATGAATGAAGCCAAGATATTTAAAAAGGTAGAAAGGTAAAAAGTAGCTTTTCTATTATGATAATGAATACATTTTTATTCTTCTAGGTTACGGCACAGAAATTGAACCAAAGTTGTTGATGAGAAGTAGCACTCAGAAAATACGACCAGTCGCAACATGTACAGCACAGACTGTCAAACCTGTGAACCAGTCAAATAAACCCAACTACATGCCTTCACCAATCACTGCAGACCCAAAACATGCTGGGAAAAAGAGTGCAACTCTTCAGAGGAAGTTGTTTCCCTTGACTGATGGAAATGAAGAGTATCAAGAAAGGGAGGTAATTGATAAGAAAGCAGACGGAAAAACCAGATTAGAGCTGCCGAGCAGAAAGACGATGCATCGTCGTAGTCGTAGTGATATGATAGATTCTATTTGTGGAAACGATAAATGGATTGAGTACGAGAAAACACGAGAACAGGGAGGCAGAAATGCCCCGCTAGCCGAGCCAGAAAGTGTGTGCAATTTGTCGATATTAAATCTAGAAAATCATGGAAAATTTGTGACCAATAGAGATGTTGCTGCACTGAAATCTGTGAAAAATGTATGTAGTGTTGAAGATGGACCAGTCATGAGAGCGCCAGATGCTAAGGGTCGTAAAGGAGAGAAGAAATCCGGAGTCGGGGGATTTTTCAGTAAAATTGGTCGGGCAGTTCTTAAACCACGGAATGTTTATTCAGATGGGGATGAGTACGGCTTTCAGCCAGTAAAGGAAAGAAAGAAGTCAGTAAGTTCAGATAAAGAAAATGTTGACCTTGTTTCCATGGCAACAGATGATAGGCAGGGAGCCAATGAAAAGAAGAATAAAGCTGAGGGTAACAGTAATAAAGTGTCAAGATTCTTCCAGCGTGGTGGTCTATACAGATCATCAAAAATGAAAAAGAAAAATCAAAATCAACTTCAGTGAAGGTTGCATGTGTCAAAGATTATGTATTATAAACTACTGTTTATGAAAATGTCTTGTAAGAATTGAACTTTAAGTGTCTCTGATAGAATATATTTTTATTTTGGCAATTTATGGAATAATAGGGTATCCTCTATAAATAAACCTTTTGCAAATTAGTTCTTACAAATGTGTCATTTAAGTAAAAAAAGAAATCAGTTTTAAAGCTGCATGTTTCCAGATGAGCTTAGAAATATTTCAGGAGAATCAACCTTAAGAAAAATGCGCTAAGAATTTAAGGAAGGAAAAAATATCCACAATTTAAGAAATAATTTTCAACTTATGTGCAATTATTGACTGATTTTGCAGTATCTATCACCATATTTATACAGTGTTATTAAAGGAGTAAGGGCTATATTTACATATTCTGACCTATTGGTGGTAGTTTTTGTAAATTTTGAGTGCCATTTGCAAATTACATTTTTTGGTTCACTTGACAATATTTTACTTTTGAATACATTTTAAACATTTCATAAAATTATAGCATACATCTGAAGGCATGTTGCTTTAGAATTATTACAAATACAGTAAATATTGTAACTTTTGAGGAAATCAGTCAATTCATAGCTGGATTTTCTTTCCATTTTGATAAAATATTTTGATAAAAAAGCCTGTTAGATTTTGCTTTCAAACAAGAAAAATTGGTAAGGGTCAGAGCTTTTGCTTTTACTTTGCTCGTATAGAATAGTGAGTCCAATATCCTTTCATTTTAAATTTATATGATTGTTCATCCTTTTTTTGCAATAGATACATTATACTTGTGCATAAATATTCAGTTTTTCTTTAAAATTTGGTTGTTTCATGTAGTTGAAGTAGGGTTACTGCCCTTGATTTAGCCAGAATCAACTTATGGCATGGTTAATTCAGAATTAATATCATAAATTCGGCAGTACGTTTAGTTGAAGTACATTTCTAAGCTTATGTTCGTTGTAAACAAGTTTTAGGGCCTACAGTTGAGTTACACAGAGCTAATGAAGTTACATTTTTACAGTGTATGACCATGTTTTGTTTTATAGAGAATTTTTATACAAATATTTTTCATTTTTCTATTTTTATTAGCATTCCATCATTGTTTATATTTCATGATGTTTATAGTTCGTGATGTTTGTGATTGCATGATGATTTTTGTCAGTTGTGCTATTTGAAAGTTTCAATGTTCAATTTTGTGTTCAATATTTGATAGTTTTAATATTTGACAATAATTTACAGTGTACCTATTTTTTCCAATACCATAAAGGTTGTTTACGATTGACAGTCGTATAAATTATTCTATGGCTGGAAAGCTATGTATGTATTTTGTTCATTTTTTTGTTTATATAATTACTAGTATGAACAGGTCTTATTTGTTTATTTCCTTGTCTGTAATGTGCTTGATATAACAGGGTACTTTATAGTGTACATTTTGAAAAGTAAGTTCCTATATGTATAATAATGCATTCCTTAACAAAGTCATATTTCTCAACTTTTTTTTATTGCTAGTCATTTATGATTTACAGGGCTTTTATTTTTGCTGATCTGCAATATTTTTCTTTTTTTACATATATATCATCAAAATATCCCAGCATTCCATTTGTATTATAAAAGCATCCGTTTTAAGATTTCAACTTTTATTTTTGTTCTGGTTGATGTAGCAGTTGTGGCTGAGGGGTAATGATTGAGGCATAAGAATTGCAGCCACTGTTTATTCCTGTGTGATCATTAGTTCATTACAGGCAACAAAATTAGTTAGAATTACTGGTGTCTATGTATCTCTCCAGCAGGTGTGGTGGTTTTGACCTTTGGTGTTGTTTAAGTTTGTAACAGTGAGGTTAGCCAAAATCATCTTTCCTGTTTTGGCCCAAATTTTGTTGGTCAACTTAGGTGTGCCCTTAAACCAAATAAAAACAAACAGTTTACTGATTGTGCATTTTGCTCTATTTATTTGTTGTATAATGTTGAATCATGTGATTAGAATGAAATAAGGAACATGTATATTATTTATTTCTTTGTATAAAGTCATGTAGAAATTTTCAACTTGTGTCATTACCTTGTAAAAATCAAAATTAAGTTCAATATTACTAAATTTCTGACCAAATTGTCTGTAAATGTTTTAATTTGACAAAATGTATGTGCCTGTTATTCCTTTAAGGGTAGAAGACAGAATAGCGAGCCACATTTGTTTGATATTTAAAGAAATGCAGCGTCTTTGTGCAAGATTGTCTCGAGTTGTTCTGCCTGTTTTTGAAATAAAGTACCTGGGAAAGTTTGGGGGAAATATATCTGGATAAAAATAGATTATCCTTGTGTGAATTAGCTATAAATATGTACTCGTCTATTGCAGTTTTTCAGCAGATAATTTGATTATTTCATTGTGTGAGTATTTACTGTGAATAAGAATTAATGCTGTCTTTGATCAAATAGAAATTAACCTTATTTGGTCGTAACAATGGGTAGATAATCTCTCATGAGTTAGACAAATAAATTATTATTCATAAATAATTGTTCTAGATTTTCTGTCAATAATGTTCTTAATACAAGTATCCGCTTACTTTTCCATCAACCATATTGTTAATTTTGGGCATTTTTGCTAGATGTAAAAGATGTTTATTTTAAACCTGTTACCACTGTTGGGTTCAAATTCTGCCAGAGACTTTGGATTTTTTCATGTTATGAAGATATTAAGCTAGCTTAGGTAACAACGGGGGTTCTAATGAAAATATTGATAGTTGACCATTTTATGTTTCATCTTTCATGCTTCACCAGCTTTTGGAATTTTCTTGTTTTTTTGAGCTCTTGATTAATATTAGGGTTAAAATATTTTATCATAGATGTGTTTGGCTTGTTTAGAAATTGACTTAATTCTTTGATTGCTTAACTGTAAACGGAAAGAAGTAGAATTAAAATGTAAGGGGAGATAAACTGGAATCATCTACATAGCTTTGGTTTACAATTACCCACACTTTAATACAGAAATTTGTAGTAAAAATATTTTACAATTATCTAAATTAAATACAGATTTGTTAGGTTATATAACTTTTTACTATGTCACTATATTGTCATTCAATCTTTGGTGTTGTATTGTAAATGTATTTTAATTTATATCATAAAACTATTAATGTAAATTTACATTTTGTAATATTATAGTTTAAGTTCATTATTGTTCAATATAAATACACCTGATAATCTACCTGAAGTGTATAGTCATCACTATTTTGTGTTTTAAATCAAGCAGTTTATTGTTAACAGTTGACTATATGATATATTTAACATGTATGTATATTTATCTCTAATTATTAGACATCTATTCTATATTTTATGTGCATATATTCTATAATCAAATCTGTTTACAGTGAAATATTTATCTAATTTAACAGTTATATACATTTTTGTTGAGGCAGCTCTCTGTAATCAGACTTCCCGAAAGTTGAAAAAAACTGTCAGACATTCGGTCTGACAAACCATGAAAATCTGTCGGACCGAAACAAAATCTGTCGGACCAAATAAAATTGATCAAAATCAATGAAAAACTTGCGTTTGTATTTCTAAGACACTTTTTGTTTTTTATTTTTTTGCCGTAAAAATCGGCACAATCCGTACAGGGCATTTTCATCTCCTCCCTGTCATACACCAATGATTCATGGTTCTGCTTCCATTTTTCATTAAATTTTGTCTCAGGTCTATTCTTTTTATCCTTTTATTGCTGTTCTGCGCACTTTTCTGACGTAGATTTTCGTTTTTTCCCAGGTTTGGCACCTTTAGCGACGCCATTTTGTATACATGCGGCTTGGATAAAAGCCGGACAGTCGGACCGATCCGGAATAAAAAATTGTCGGACCTGATCAAAATTTATCGGACATGTCCGTCGGACCGACGTATTTCGGGACGTCTGCTGTAATGTAAACATTAATTAAGGGTCACTATAAATGTTAGGTGTATTTAGTTGTTGAAACAGTTTTGTATTTGTCAGCAATATCTTCAACTATTTTTGCCACCAATGTTCTGATTTATGAGCGGGAAACCTTAGAACTATATTTGAATGAAATGTCTGAAAACGTTTAAATAATTATTTAAATAAATCATTAACTTTTGATGATGTGATGATTTGTACGACTTATATAACAATTAAGTTCTGTAATTATCAGAAGAAATATTAATTAATGTACATGGATGTGAAGGTTTAAATTGTTATTTGCAAGCTGTTCTTTTTTTTGGCTTACTAGGGCATTTTCTTCATTATTGTTTTTATATTTGTTTTCATAATCATAAGCAATAATTCGTCATTATGTGAACTATCATTATAACTTTTTGAAAAAAATTAAGTGGTTTACGTATTTGTTTATAAATCAGTTGGAACAAAATTCACGTATAGAAGGCTTCAAATACCGGTAATTAAACTTTACAATGTAGTTTTACATAATGGAAATCTGAAGAATTATTCAGACAGTTGAATGAAAAATAAAGCTTTTTGTTATGGGAGATAAAAACATATTTTGTTTGATTTTGGATAGTTTTAATTAAAGCTACATTAAATAAATTTCATAAAAACAGAAATAGCGACATTTCATTAATAAATTGGGTTTCATATCGACTCCAGATTTTATTTTGGTGTCAAGACAACCAAAATGAGTTTTATAAGCATAAAAATGGGCAACCTCATTGTGGCGAAATCAAAAGTACAATTTCTGTTTGCATGAGAAACTCCGCCTTCATATTACCGTACATCAATGTTTAATCAACAAACATGACTATACGCAGCAGTCCTAATTTAACGGTTTATGTCCGCATTGTAACGGATGTTTTCATACAAATTTAATCCTTTTTATGAGATGATTACTTTTTTCTGAACCCCAGGCCTAGTGCACCGTGAAGCTAAAACGGTTAAAGTGTGTTTGCACAAGAAAATCTCATATTTACTGTGTTCCGGATAGCAACTATAACAATGTGACGTAGCGCATACACAAGCTGATTATAGTCTTCATTTGCATGTTAAAATTCGTATACGAACTTTAGTGTTACCGTGGGGTTTTCCGTTTAAAATCCTAATTTATGAACAATATTTGATGAGATTTACAACAATAATATTAAAAAGATTAATGAAACTGTATAATGCTTGTTTTTTTAGGCCGACGGCAAATTTTTTTTACATATTTATTTAATGTAACTTTAAATTGTATTTTGACTAATTGACTCAGATATGTTTGGTATAGATAATTTCCCGCTGATTTTAAGCATGTATGTACCATAATGATAACATGATATACATGTACAACATTTACAAGTGTGATCTCTGCTACTTGCTGGCATGTCTTTTGCTATTTTTTTTAGAAAATAAATTTGCTAGTAGCTGATTTCTAGTTGTCATTTATACATCCCTTTCAAATGAAAATATATTTAAAAAATCTGGCCGAGATATTTTATTGTTTTATACGAGGAAGATTTCAGCCTCTCTAACAAATGGTCGGTGGTTTGTGCCTTCATTAATGTTTACTGTGCAGTTTTGGTCTCCTAGACAACCACTATGACTGACCTTTATGAACTGTTGGTGCCACTTAAATCTACACAATAATTAATAAAAAATGCTGAAAATGCAATTACTCTACATTACACACCTCTATTGTTTGTGTCAGGTCTATATTTTTCGGATAGACCTGTTAAAACAAAAGAAAGTCCGTTATGAGGTCTTTCTTTTGCACGTGCACAGGTCTGTTCTAGTCAGAAGACCCGGTCATGAAAAACACGTGAAAAAATAGACCTGCCTATGCGCAGACAAAGAAAACATGAAATGCAATCAAAAATTAAAACTTTTTTAACTAAGCAATTATTCCAGCATCCCTATATTAAATCTTTCAGTAAAAATAATGGATAGCATGTCAAAGTTAGGACACATTTAACATTTATTTAATCGCGTCATTTTTTAAAGTAATAGTAATTCTGTCATTAAGTTCATAATATAACAAAAAGGACGCTTTAAGTTCATATCTATGAAACTATATAGCAGAAATCACAGCATACTCGTTACGATTTTAAAATGTAAATAAAGTTATTAGTGATTTAGTTTAAAACATTTTATGATGAACGATCATATTTTATTCTAGAACACTTTATAATCTGCTATATAAAATATAGTTTCGGTTTATATATTTCACACTTGCCAACAATATGCTTGGTCTTCTTGGTATCCACATATTGCCCTTCGGACAGTTGCCCCCTCAGAAATTTGCCTCCTTTTTGCAATGGCGGTCATTTGCCCCCTCATATCTTTGGAAGGGGCGAACATTTGTCCCCCCACTCCCTGATTTAAAAAATATTTTATTGTTGAATTGTTTGCTACCATAATTCATCGCCTATTGTCGAAATTACATTGTACTTAAATACACAAAAACTCTCGCACAAATTTGTGAAAGTGAAAATAGCATCCATAAATAAATAAAACTAAAATTTTTCCATTGGCATACATAAAATCTATACACGAGATGACAAGTCACTAGTCACAACGGCAAAAAGGGGACATACGTCCGGGGTCAACTGTCCGGGGGCAAATGTCCTAGAATCTGCATTGTCTGATACGACATACTATGAACAAAATTATTCATTCTTTAACGTACCTTCTATTACAGATCTTTTCACTTTATTATTGACAAATTGCACATTTAGCTTTTTTATTTTAAAGGGGTAAGCAAAGGATATATTGTATTTAAGCAGAACGTTGATAAAAGCTTACCTGTATATGCATTGTGTTAAAATAATATTTGTGCCATTCATTGAATGCTTCGGATCAGCCATTGCTCAAGCCAATATAGTTTTAACGGTGTGTAAGTTGGATATCGGCCTCGTACATCGATCTTTCTGTTTAGGAAAGACCTGGGCACGAATTTCATGAAACACCTCGAGCGCTACGCGCTCTCGGTGTCACATGAAATTCGTGACCAGGTCTTTCCTAAACAGAAAGATCTCGTACTCGGTCGATATCCTATACATATTTGATATTAAGATTATTTGGGAATGTTTTCTTTACATTGCTGGTGATAAGAGATGAGTTCTACTGGTTTTCGTGAAATGTTTAACTCGTGCATTTCTGACCCCAGTGTCTTTTTCCCTTTAATAATAAAGAACAAAACTTGAGGGTTACTGCTTCGTCGTTTATTTAATTTGTAGTAGAACTATATAGTACATCTCAACATAATACATCAAGCCCATTATGGGTCAGTAAATACCCCTGTCACTCACACTCTGATATAAGCTGTCTGTACTCTTAAAATGACAATTCCTCAATCATTTATTACTTAACATATTTTTAGTTAGTAAAAATACATAAGTTATCAAAATGATCAACACAAGAATGACCTCAGATGGAGACTGGCTGCTCAAAGGGACATAATTATACAAAAAAACGTTGAGACTAAAATCAAACAAGGGCGACAGAGTAGTCTTTCTTGAAAAATGATAACCTTGCTTACACATTTATAATGATTTTACCGGTATTCTTGTTTAGGTCAAGGTTTCTATACCAGGAGAATCTTAGCTCGTTCCGTACCTGTAGAACAATATACATGTACAAGGAGTATACAACTTGAATAGTGACCGGGACGTTACTATGGAGTAATCATTTTATCTGGCAACTGCAACATGCATTATTTCATCACATCAGTGGTTAGTCTTGATGACTGACATTAAATCCTTCATATGTGCCTAAAAGACTTGGACAATATTTTGAGAGAAGAAATCTAGAATGCGAGATGTGACTAAATTTCAATCAGCAGGGCTTGAGGAAAGAATACAACATCTTAACTTTATAAGGTAGTCTCACATTTGGTCCACCAGTAAACAATTGTTGAGCTGGACTTTTGTAGTTCATAATTTTGCCATTTTTAGTAAAGAACCCATACTGCTAATAGCACTAGGCAAAAATGAAAATGTTAGACAATGTTAAGATAAGAGTTAATAATAACAAAGCAATTTAATTGTAAATTCAAAAACAGGTGCTGAAGGAAAGTCTTATCAAACTATTAATACTTTTTAGATAAATACAACATATTTATACAAACTCCACATCTGTATACAACTATGTATGATTTGTTCAATTAAACTAGATGTAAGATAAACTTTACGTCACCCAGATAATTTCAAGACAATATTAAGACGTACCAGGTTATGAACTTATTAGCTCGACTATACGAAGTATATGGAGAGTGTCCTACTCGCGTCGGCGTCCGCGTCCTGATTTCAGTTTAAAGTATTGGTCCAGTAAACTATTTTTCACTATAACTTTGTCATTTCTTAAGGTATCAATTTCAAACTACAAATATATGTTCCTTATCATCATCCCCATCTTATGTGACAAGGTTCATACCTCTAGCACAACTATTTTCAGATTTATCTCCCCTTGAACTTAGAATTTTCTTTAAAAATACTATTTTTTACTGTTACTTCTTTATTTCTTAAGGGAATAACCTCATACTTCAAGAATATGTACCTTATCATCATCCCCATCTTATGTGACAAGGTTTATAGCTCTACATTTAACATTTACAGATTTATCTCCCCTTGAACTTAGAATTTTTCTCAAAAATACTATTTTTTTTACTTTTATTTATTTCTAATCAACTTCATACTCTAAAGATATGTACCTTATCATCATCCACATCTTATGTGACAAGGTCCATATCTCCCCATAAACTTAGATTTTTCTATTAGAAAACTGTTATTTTTTACTATAACTTTTTTAGTTTTAAAGGTATCTACCTCAAACTTCAAATACTTATTCCTTATCATCAATTACATTTTATGTGACAATGTTCATAACTTTGAAGCAATATTTACAGATTTATCACTCTTTGAACTTAGGATTTTCTTTAAGAAATATTATAACTTCTTTACTTTTTAAGGTATCTACTTCAAACTTCAAATATATATTTCTTATTATTTGTCCTCCTTACTGCGACCAGTATTTTATTAGTCGAGCTTCGCTGTCTCCTGTGACAGCTCTTATTTTGTACTTAATGTTAGATAGTAACTACACGGCGATAACTGTATTTACAATTTGATAACTATAGACCTACTAGACTCATCATTTACATATAATCATACACGGTCATGATATTGTACAAGTTATGGAGTAAATTAACCCACTTATAAACCTTTTCTATACCTTTACATACATTCATATTTGTCTCTTGTAACACTATGCATCCTCCAGGAAAGTGTTAGTCATTTTATAATTTTGAAGGAATAATGTAAGAGCATATCCTTTATTTGTTTCTAATGTAACCGTGCATTGATGTGCACATATAGTGCAAATACACAGGATCACTGTTATTGTAGTTTTTAAGAAGTGTTGGGTCGAACTTGCAGCCTTTGGATCTGTAATAAGACAGTGTTGCCACTGAGCACAATATGACGTCTATAGTGTTCTGAAAGCTCATGAATCATTAGGATGCAACTAGCTTTAGAACGCGTCTTTATCACGAATATTGGAAGATAAATTCAGCAGCAGCAGCATGACGACGTCACATATGATGGAGTTTGTTTGTGCAGGTTTGGCGGGGTGTGGTGCCGGGATATTTACGACCCCGTTAGAAGTAAGTTTGAAATCAATTCAATAAATATATGTAATTATATGCAAACACTATTGCAGAAAGTCTTAATCAAGTTTATTTATCGCTCTGTGATGAATAGTAATTTATGAATGTGGTATGCGTCCATGCAACTGCATTCAATGTTCATGTCTTGGTGAAATACGACATTGCAACAGTCTCGTACCTATATATGGACCATTCTGCATTGATTTAAACAACGATAAAGTATCTATACCTAATAAAATATATGACATAGTTTCAGATTTAAATGATAGAGAGAAAAAAATGTAAGTTGTTGAGTTGTACTTGTTACACAATGCTATGACCTTTTTCTAAGTCATCAGTTGAAATACACCCTTTTTTTCCAAACTCGTTAAAATACACATTTTCCGTATTTCCGAATTGCCGTTAGAATACACATGTATTTCCAAATTTCCGGTTTATACGCAAATAGTATACGACTGATATGTTATAGTTTTGTTGAAAATCTTTAAAGCAGTTACACTTAATGCATCTACGATTTGTAGGTTGTAAAAATTCGAATGCAACTTCAAGGTGAACTACTTAGAAAAGGACACTACACTGTACATTATAGGTAAATACTTATTGTGTCTCTTAATATCAAACTTTTTATTTAAAAAAATTTCAGTTGTTATACAATCAAAAAATGTAGTAACTATGCTGCAAAATAATGTTATTTAAGTCTATTTGTATATGTTTATGTTTTAATTTAGGAAATGGGAAATCTTAACAATTTACAATTTTATATTTCCTTATACAGAAACTGCGTCCATGCATTTTACACCATAGTTACCACAGACGGATTTCTTGCGTTACAGAAAGGTCTAGTTCCCGCGCTCTGGTTCCAACTCATACATAATGGTACCCGGCTTGGGTCATATCAAATCATCATCAATACGGGGTTCACCAAAGATTCTGAAGGCAACGTGAAATGGGGAAGATACTTGCTGGCCGGGGCTGTCTCTGGTGGGTTCGGAGCAGCCGTGGCAAGCCCCTTCTATCTGGTGACTTAGATATACCATAATAATAAAGTACATTTTGATGCCGAAGAGTTCCGAAAAATTGCATAATACACACATTTATAAATATAAACAATGTAGTTAAGTCACGTGTCTCAAAATGATTATATACATCATAATAATAATAATAATAATAATAAAATAATAAAAAAATAATAATAATAATAATAATAATAAAACTAATATGCGGTTTTATGTATTGTTATCCTTTTCTTAGGTCAAGACTCATCTTCAAGCACGTGCAAATCGTGCTATTGCAGTTGGTACTCAACATCAACATGATTCTATGACAAAAGGTTTTAAAAAGATTCTTAAACGAGAAGGAATAAAAGGTAAATAGAACTTAAGGGCATTTAAAGAATGGTGTACCCATGTTCTGTCTATATCTCATGTCATGTTTCGGTACGTAGAAATTTAAAACAACTTTGGTAAAAGCCAGATTTGTAGAACTCTAAGCACATGAACAATGTTAGTAAACGCTATACTAATATACACATGTATTAAACAGTAAATAATGTGAACACTATGCACATGGAATAGGGGTATACCGGTAATTGATTTTAATCCAACTGTAAATATTTGAAAGATTTTCGGACGTTAGCGTCATACTGAATGTCTCAAATAAATTTTATATTAGTTTCCAGATTGAGATAAATCTCTAACTTAGATAATTATTCATCATAGAATGATACATACCTGAAGTTATGTTTTATATAATTTTGATAGGTTTATGGCGTGGAACAATGGCGGCGGTACCAAAGAGCACGGTCGGTTCAGCTGTACAGCTGGGGACATTCAGCACGTCAAAAGATTATATCACCAGTCTGATGGTAAAAACATTGTTCTAACATTATGATGTTTTGGTATTTAGAGCAATGCTAATTCAGAAATATTTCTATAGAACCAGTATTGTTTACTACATACATTTATTGCCTGATGGATGGCCATTAGATATATGTTTTTGTTGTTGTAAAAGTTTGTTTAAGGTAAATGTTAACAAGTTTTTTGCGGACAATGTTTAATTTTACAGTGAAACACGGCAATCAATGCCGCATTTGTATGTTTCTTTTAATAGCTGGATTATATATTTTTATTTTTCAGTTATCCCAGCCAGACAGTGTATTCAACGCATTCTTTGCTAGTATAGTCGCCGGGGTATTTATAGTAGCGTGTATGACGCCATTTGACGTCGTCGCGACACGTATGTACAATCAACCGGTAAATAATCAAGGTCAGGGGACGCTTTATAAACATGTACCAGACTGTTTCATTAAGATACTGCACGAGGAGGGACTATTGAGTTTCTACAAGGGATGGGGACCGTCATTTTTCAGACTGGTTCCCCATACAATATTATCTTTAGTGTTCTGGGACCAACTTCGTCTTTTGCATCATAAATGGACGTCAGACGTCAGTGATCCAACATGATGTAATAAACAATTTTTAAATGATGATTTAGGATATATTTTTATGTTTAAGTGGTAAAACATTAAACAAGGTAATGGAACATATATTGGACGACACACGGCGTATATCACATACAAAGTTTTAAGTTTGGACCTCACTGAACCTGCATGGTCAATATGAAAATGTTGTTTTTAACTAGCTGCAATACTGTTTTTTTCTAATACATTGACCTTAAGTTTCGCGTTGTGCGTACTATTTCTTTTGTAGGAAATTTATAGTACACATATCTTTTGCAACATGGATTGCTTATATGTATTCTCTTTACATATGAATAAAGGGAGATCACTGTATAATATTATTTCTTCATGTTTTCAAGAATTTCCTCCCTTGCATTATTTGCTGCTGTATCTCTTTTTCATCGTTAGGCGACTCTACAATAGTGGTGCTTTCTAGCAGTGCTTTATATCGAATGAAAATGTCTACCATTTCATGATAAATTTGTCTTACTGGAACCAGCTTTTTGTTTTGGTATTTAGTTATTTATTTACATGTACTATGTTCTCAGACCGCGAACAAATTGTTACAAATGTGATTTATTTTAGAAACATTCAGAACCCAAATTCACAAATCGTTTATTTTAAATATTTAAATATGCATGTGTTAAGTTTGGCAAGAAGAGTTGACTAAATAACCAGTGATGAAAATAAACTGCCTTTAAATAAATGCGAGTAAAGACAACTTAGAGAAACATAATAGAATCAAGTGTCTCTATCTATATTTCACTAATACAGTTACTTAGTTACATTGACCGGTGTTATATCTAACATGTAATAACTTCAAATCAGTAGAAAACTCGTTTTGAATAGTTTTTTTAACATCGTTTTTCAAACAAAACGCCGGGCAATGACAAAGTGTTTCATTTTTTTATTTACAAGAATGTCACACATTACTAATGTATATGATTGTTGGGAGGGTAGAAATATGTGATAATAACTGCTTTATTTTTCCAGTAGACGGACAAGACAGAACAGACAGGTCTCTTTTATTTTCCTCCCAAAATGCATCGCAATAAAACATTGGGATATACCGTATAACTTGTAATTTCTGCGGGTTGGCAAAATTTTTGCGTTTTTGGGACTGAAAATGGGTATATTAATTATTTGCGAATTTTTTTCTGCCGTTTTTTCGATCAAAAACGTTTATAAAATTTAATATCTGCGTTTTTTCTATTAATTTGTTTGGGAGCAGGATCTTTGAAGAGAAAGGTTAAAGTATCAAGTATGTATAAAGCCTACAAACAACAAACTTTGCTAAACTTATTATACGATAACTATATCCAGATACAATATGACAAACAAACTTAACAGTAGCACTTTATATGCGATTAGTAGTGTTTCGATTTACATAGATAGTTATCAATGAAATATAAGATGTTTTTGTAACTAAAGTACACCTTTTGTTTATTTCGTAGTAACTATGTTTCCATGTCACTCTTTTGTTTTTTCGTTTTTAATTTTACATTTTTGTTGTATTTTGCCGCATTTATTCATAACAAAACACAAATAAAATATATGGGGGTGCGTTATTTTTGGGACATTGTTTTCCTGCTTTTATTGCTGTTTCCGTTTGATATCGTCGTATCGTTAATAACAATACATTATTGGTCATGTTTTTTGTGTGACTATGCTGAAATGTGAGGAAAACAATTTTGTTTAACTGGGAATCAATATCAGATAGTTTGTTTTGTCACTCACCAACAATAACTGTTGATAACAAAATAACCCTGATCGCATTTATACATCAGAAAATAACAAAACAACTACAAACAACATCAACAAACAAAGACACATACATACAAGTCGAAACTTAGAAATAATAGCCCGAATAAAAGATTATAAATAAACATAATGACGTGTGTTTGGCTAAAATATCATTGTAGGATTATTTCATGAAGATGTACTATACCTTTTTTGCGTTCACTGATTCCAAGCAGCTATGTTTAACCTGACACTGGAGTCATATATAATCCAGAACAGAACAGAACATGATTTTATTTTGACTTCTACATGGTACATTACCATATATAATATGTTAATACATTGAACAAAGTGCATATACAATACATTTTCTAATTTTTGATGAATTATTTACAAATAAAAAAACCCAGATATCATAGTGTTGAGGATAAACAATTTTAAACATAATTTAGTATACATGGTTAAATAACAGATATATCTCCAGAAAACAATTTACAAGTTACATAAATTGTTAAAATGAATATATGTATACATGTACTGTTACGACAATCATAATTAACAATAGTATTTCTGTAATATAATGATTCCTTTTTATACTTTGCCAGATTAAGCAGTAAATTTTGTTTTAATGTTACACATTAGTGCTAGAAATGTTATCAAGGAATGCCTTTTAAAATAGTATTTTTTACTATACCTTTCTTATTATTTTTAAAAATCATGGATATATCAATACGAAATGATAATCGTCCTCAGGGACATTTTTATCTTTCATTACGTGGCAATCTCTTTCGACCATAACTTCCTGTTTGCATTCTCAGTTATTTAGCCTACATTCTTTTTCTTGTAATGAAGGTCCATAGTGTTTGGTAAAAAAATCTAAGTAAATTTTGTGATAGTGCAGCTTTACAAATTTTATAAAAAATGCACGACTAAACTAATGACATACTTAGTATATGCATTACGTTCGTCTTTTTACGTGTAGTATTTTGCTCAAAGAAACAACAGAAACATTGATTGTTGAAAATAAAACATGTAACAAGAATTAACGGCAAAAAGTAATCTGGTTAAAATTACATTCTCACAGGAAATTAAAGTAATTTAGACGAATGCATGAAGCATTTAATTTGACAGAGATGCAAAAAATATGAATTCTCAGTTACAATAGTTGATTTAATCATATCGTAAAAATGCAGCCCTATTGTAAAAACAATTAAAATAATCTTTAACAAATGCTTTGTGGTTCTTTAAAAAGATAAAACGAATATTGAAACATCACAAAGCACGGTATAAATAAAAATGTTACAGGCTCGTTTCTACTGAACATGTTAATGGAAAATATTTGAAATTCATGCCACTGTCCACACCACTTAGCACCAGGATGTACAGAATACAACATATACATGTAAACATTATTTAATATTGACAATTAATTCTAGTAGGAAGCTTTTGACTTTTCCTCTACGACATCGTGATTCCTAATTATAAACATTATAAGCTAATAATTAGAAAGTATGAAATGTTTTTGTAAATATATGATAGTATGATTTAATATACCCTCATTATACTTCAAAATAAGATTGACTTACTAACGAAGCAAAGATATTATCAGGGTTATAGAGTTAATTATAATCTTTGATACATTACTGGCTCGTAGATAGCCATGACCTATCATTAATGAGCAGGGATTGCACCTGACGAACACATATAATAACCTGTTATCGTGGTTTAAACTTATTAAGCGTTATGGACAAGTAATAGACGTGTGACTATTTGCAAAGCACTGACTAAGTTGTATTTACTATTCACGTTTCTATGGCAAGATATTTAAAGTTCCAGCATGGCTTTATTAACATCAGTCAAATGTTTGCTTGTGTAAATCAATGTAGGTAAAGCATCTTTAAGTTTTTCTTTATTTTCTCCATTAACAATATTTAGTTTGAAAAACTATGAATGATTTTTAAAAATGCTTTAATGACATTTCATAACGATATCAATAAATTGAGCACTCACAACGCACAATATTACATAATACTAGATTTTACTCAGTTATTGTATGTTTAACCTGGTACACAGTATTCCCAAGATATAACAAATATAGAATAACATACCATGTTAGCATCATCATTATCATCATTACCAAATGATTAAGCAGTTTGTTGTGTTAATTTCGGAACACACATAATTATTATTCACTGAGTACGTAAAAATTTAAACAAACGATATCTTTCAAGTATACAGTAGTTAACGTCTGTACGAAGATAAACCATGATGTGATTTGTTTCCTGGTTTTGTCTTTCACAATGACATCATTAGAGCTAACTTGATATTTGCCACACAAGAGAGTTGATTAGGATAAATTTCTTTATCAGTACATAAAAATAAAACTTTTGCTGCAGTTGATTGTGATAAATGTTCAATTTCTTAAAAAAGTAGTTTGTCACAAATCGCGTAAACGCTACTGAAGCAATGGGAATTCATGAGGTGAATTGCAACAACAAGTGTCTTAAATCTAGCCATGTCCTTCTTGGAAATTGATGTTACTTGCAAAATATGGTTTGACTAGAATATATTTGTAGTGAGATGTATATGTTATATGTACATATTTTTAGATAATCAATATAATATCTTAACTTCAACCAATCAGTAACAAACGTTAATTATCAATTTTATAATAACTAATTCATTGAAATCAAAATATTATTTTCATCATTAAGTCTTGTATTACTTTTACTGATTGTTATATAAATAAAAAGCTTGATGAAACCGCTTTTTCCTAAACCTAAAGCTACGTAGAAGTATGCTATTCAAATAAGGTCCAAGTAAAATTTTCAACTATCATTTAATCAAGTGTTTTCTCTTCTACCATTAATAACAAAGTTTATTGCTGTTATCGTCGTCTTAATGTTTTGAATTACAAGCATTGAAATTATCTTCATGATTTATCATCGCTATGTCAAAAATATTTGTCTGCGTTTTATTCATTTGACAATGTGATAAAATTAAACTAAAATATTAAATGTTTATATCCTATGTAGCAGATACACACATCTTCCAATCAATTAACACAATTCTGTCTGTTACATGTTTCAAGAGGTCATAATTGACGAAACACAGTAGGTAAACATGACGAATTTCTTTCCCGTAATATCTTCTTTCTTTCACAATTTCAGTTAATAAGATGCCTATAAAAAGATTCCACCGAAATAATGAAATTTGGCAGTTATAAATCAAGAGATAACTTTCTGGACAACTAATCATCTGAAAAATTTAAATTGGTATATTATATGTTATAAAGGCTTTTGACAGGTTATATGGCCCTATATAAACGGTTGTTTGCATATATATATAACCCGAGCCTCTAGGCCAGGTGATTGGATTCTGTTGTTAATAGTATTCTGAGCAAGTTACGACCACTTTGTAAATAAATACAAATCATCAAGTAGTCAAGTCACAAACTCGGACAATGTTAAATATATTCACATACTATGCTATGTTTTATTGTAACAAAATATTACTTCAATATTGTCTGATTAGACCTAAAATATTAAAGCACTTGAAACATATCTTATTTGCAAATAATTTCAATACAAACCATCGAACAACCGCATGACGCTAAGCACAATAAGATATGACAAGAAAGACAATAATTCCAGCTGTTATTGCAATAA